TAGAGGAAGTTGACGAGTGTAGACGAGTATAACAAGTCTACTCTCTCAACACTGTATTGCTCTGGTATTTATATATGAGGGACCAGACCCCTAATACTACTGTTAGTACACCTAACACCTAGGCTGACTGATGCTCCTAATACGCTATTGGCTATCTAAGAATACCTGGCATGTGAGCCATCACCATGTGTTTGGTCAGTAGTTTGATATGTGATGATCACCTGAATGACTGTGTGTGTCTCTAGTATAAATGGGGAAATCTCGTGTGAACGTATGATTAGCACATTTGACCTGCTTTGGACAAGGCTAGACACCTGACTAGTAACATGTCACCATGCATTATGCTATCCTTATCTTAGGTAGATATCTAATTGGATAAGATATAGATCATCTAAATGCTAAAGATAATATAGACACCATGAAATTCTGTGACAGAAATTCTGTAACAAGTGGCAGGATGGGTAGGACATGCAGGCCATACATGTGTTTGATCTGCCTTATAGGCATATTAGGTATCTTGAGTATTCCTGGGACAAGGATATCCACTTTATACCTGTGTGCTGTCTTATCTTCATCATCAGGAAGACTGAACCATGACACCTCATAGTCCACATTCTGCTATCTAGATGAGACCAAATAAAAATTGTCATTATGATCTGCAAGTATATTCTTGAGGTGTTTGGGATCATCCTCATTGAGTACAATGAGATCCACATCCTAGAGCTAGAGTTAGCATGAATCAGGGCAATACCAGAAGATTCACATACTTAGGGTGTCCTCCTTTCTACACCATACAGTACACATGCCACACTGCTAAATAGGCAGCAATGGATGTTATGATCAAGAAAGATTCCAATAGCTCTTTGTGCTATAACACAGATCTCTTGATATGTGACCTGGGGACTTTGTCCCAATGGTTTGGATGATTTTGCTGGGTTTCTTCAAGGATGAATGAGGGATTTTGGGGGTTGCAGTTCAATGGGAGGCTGTTCCAATAGTGTGATGAGTCTGTTGAGATGAATGAGTATCTGGATATTAATGTGACAGCTTTTATGCCCCAGTCATCAAGAGTATGACAAAGCTAACATAATTCATTACATCACGATGATGATCGGTACTTGAGAAGGTCGGACACATGAGCACCGTAATGGTCTAGAATCGAGCCACCTTGAGGGGGTACAAATGGGCAGAACACGGCGAATCTATAAGCGAAGTCCGGTTATATATATATGAACAAGGGATTTCCATCAGACTTGCAACACATGTAGGTCTGGATGAATTGGCCTGCCGCGCAAAAATCTACCGGTAGCATTTGCATCAATAGGGGATCACTCTGAACGTAAAACATGCGCACCCCTCGCATACGACCAGCAATACGATCGCTATGCTTCAAAAATAGCCATAACCCGCATCAAAAGGGTTGGAATCCAAGGTTCTGCCAGTACAACGCCGAGTCTGGGAAATCTTCTACGTACTCATAAACGCGATCTTGGGTCGTAGTGATGAAGTCTTCAGGGAGCCACCATAATTCGTCATTGCGGATATGAGTGCTATAATCGCAGCTAATAGCAAGGAGCTCATCAATGTCCACCACATCGACAACTTGTTTATCCCGCATGTCCGGGCGGCTAGAATTGCGATGATCGAACCACCCTTTCAGCTTCATCATGAGCAGTGGTAGGAGTGGCATGACTGGTAAACCGTCTCTGTCTTCGATATGTTCAGTGGGGATGTCTGGGATCTCCAGGAGGCCAGGGACGAGGATATCAACTTTGCACCCACGCGGTGTATCCTCATCCTCTGTGGGAAGCGCACACCATAACACCTCATAATCCGCAGTTCTGCTTCTAGAGGGCACGAGGTAGAAGTCTTCGTCTACTTCAGTGAGAACGGCCTTGAGACGTTCCGGGTTCTCTCCACAAAAGACGATGAGATCGACATCCTATAGCGGTGTTAACAGTGTCGTAAGTGTATCTAGAATAAACCTACTCGCATTGGGACATCTGTCAACGCCATACAGCGCACAGGCTGTGCTACCGAATAGGCAGCAGTCATAGTGGCACCAGCCAGAGATGATAGCGGCCGCCCGATCGGCAATGCTGCAAATCTCCTCGTATGTAGGCGGACCTGACATCGTAAAATCGGCAGCCTCTTTCAAACCACTGCTTTCGAAGACCACAGTGACGAGGAGCAGAAAGACGAATATTTGAAGATGAAGCTCGAAGCTGAGAGCGTTCACGCCATATGCACAAGACAAAGGGAACAAAACGCATGCTGAGTCAGCATACGCAATACCAATTCGGCAAATCAACAGAAGTAAGACGAATAAATCCATATATCCTGAACATTAAATACGCACATACAAATACAAAGAGGCTATCCATGTCCTGTACATTGGCAGGAAGGAAAATATCACCTCTCACCCAATGTTAAAACACGATCCAAATGACATTCACTGTGGGGGACCCTCGCATCCGAGCTCTGACTAACGATGACGCCCTGAATCAGAGCTTCCCTTTCTCAAATTTCTTCACATATGCGATTCCGCCACCGAGGCAGAGCTAAAGAAGGGAATATAAGCTTATCTTCAAGTTATTCGCTAACATCTTACCTTGCCGGTGGTAACGTTCTTTGTAACGAACGTAACTTCTGTAGTGCCATCTGGTCCCGCACCCACTGCCCATACAGATGTCTCAAGCGCGTCACCAGGCTTGACGGGTGATGTAAATCGAGCGCCAAAAAGTTTGAGTGAACGGGGATCGCCTCCGCCAATAGCAGAGATGACGGCACGCGCTGCGAAACCGAACGACGAAAGGCCATGCAGAATCACCCCGCCGAACCCTGCCGCTTTACCAATACTGGGATCTGAGTACGTCCAACAAGACAACTGAGCTATGGTTCCGAATGACACAATGAGAGAGCAATTGCGCACCAATATGTAACATGTTGTAGTCCCCGCTAAGCCGATAAATGATGGCCTGCTCAGGCGTGGTCTGGTCACTGATCACCCAGTCGGGTTTCTGATCCTTGGGAACTGGCTTCGCTTGCGGTGGACCTGCAACGCGCTTAGTAAAATTGCTGCCAGTGACTTTCGCGCCAAGATTAAACGAAGCGGACTGAACTCAAAGTCGCATTAGTGCATCTCAACAAGATCGAAGGAACACTAAGCGTACGTAAAGTTTAGCGTATGGAATGCCATTCCCATCTGCGAGCACAGATTCGTCTTCAATGATGATACCAGACTCTGCCATCGCATTCATGCGCATGCACTCTCCAAAAAAAGTGGATTCACACACTATTTTCGCTGATACCAACGATGCGTCTTTGAAGTTTCCATCCTGGTCCGCTGACTGCAGGAAGAGGTTTGAGAATCTCAATAGTCTGGTATCCGTGCACCTACGAAAGATAATGAATATTGTGAATATCATAACGTCTGCTCTGTGTACAATAAAACTCACGATACGATTCGGGTCGAACTTGGGTAGATCTGGCGTCCGCTTGCCCTCGCTCATGAGCTGACGGAAATCAACAACATCTTGACTGAGGCCTAAAGCCAAATAATTTGACGCTTCAAGGGCAAGGGAACACAAGACTAACCTTTAAACATGAGAACTACTGGATATGTCGGGAACGGTGCCCATGATTTGTCTTGGAAATCATGACTATCTCGCGACAATGTTGTGGAATAATTCAATCTCACCGAGCTCTGTTTCCACATCGACATAGCTCAGGACATCATCAAAAAACGAATAACTGGAACGCACCGTTTACTATTGAAAATTCATCTTTCTTCGCTCCAATGCCAACTGCATATATGAGCAAGTCTCTCTGATTCCAAGACACCTAATTGCGACGGAAAGAGTGTGAGCGTTCGCGGCATGACAACGTCAATGCGTATCCATACCTCTTTATCGTTGAGCTGGAAGCCAACGGCTTTAGCAAGGTCAAATTTCGACATGATGGAAGTGAGTTAGATGTGGATACGAAATGACCTCGAGCGTGAGTGTTTGGCCAGAATTCGTTAAGTACTGCCTCGGGCATCGGGTTCCATGTGATACCCGTCGCCGACGCCGTGATCATCTGCCCAAATCGCGCGAGTTTCATGTGACCGAAACTCGATTTTGCATGACGGGCGCCTTTCGAGTCGGCTCCAGCTTCCAGCCCAGGCCATAGCCTCTATTCAGACATTCACTCTGAGCCTATCACATAGGCGAGAAGGAGGTACGGTCACGTAGAATGTGTGTTATCCGGAAAGTGACCTTTCTTATCAGTGAGCTTCCGATATAATCTCAAGGGAAAGGTGCGTTTTATCGGCAGATTACATTTCATGCCGTTCATATTTTAGGCTTAATACTAGTACTTGTCAGTTCGAACATGCCACCTACGGTGAACACTGCTTGAACATAGCATAAAAATGGCCTCCACGTCTGCATCACCATCGGAAATCTCACATCCAGTGGTTTTCACCACACAGACACCCTATCCTCTGCCCTCGCAGAAATTCATGATCCCGACGTCATGGAGGCGCTATCAGCTTTCGCAGCTCGTGAACAGAGCTCTGTCTCTTCCGAGTCCGATACCATTTGATTTTCTGGTGCATGGAGAGATACTTCGAGGGACACTGACGGAATGGTGTGCAGAGAAAGGGATCGGCGAGGTACGCATATGATATTACAGGCTACTCATAAGGTTCACAATACTTTTTTATATCTAGGAAGAGATGCTCGAGATTGAATATTTCGAGTCGGTTATGCCCCCACAGAAGATGTCTGACTTGCCCCATGAAGATTGGGTCTCATCGGTTTCATGCGCATTGCCAGGGTATGTATGAATTCACGTATGTGGTATTTGAGCAATGTGGAACATTCGGTTCTCCATCCGTGTGGATGGGGCGATGCAGATACGTGGTGGTGTTTCTGGCTTGAGTTTTTGGGCTGCAATACTCTATCATTCTTACTCTTCATGCATTTGGGCTAACGTACTCAAAAGCCACTTCCTGACAGCATCCTACGACGGACACCTACGCGTGTTCAACTACTCCCAAAAGCTACTCTATACATCCGCAGTGCATATGGCGCCCATCACCTCAATATGTGTCATACCTTCATCCTCTTCAGCATCATCCCCAACTCTTCTCGCTAGCGCCTCGCACGACCTCACTGCACGATTATCCACACTCTCCTGTCCCTCTGACTCGCCTGATTCATCAGTGCAAGTCCAAGTGATTGCCTCACTGCATCTACATACTGCATCTATATCATCCGTATCTGCAAATTCTGTTGGCTCGCACCTGCTCACTTCTTCCTGGGATGATTTAATTGGTCTCTGGGATACCTCTGTGCCCACCACAGATGAAGTCCCACCGGAGGACGTAGACCGCAAGAAACGTCGTAAAGTGGACGAGCAAGCCTCAAGACCAAAACGCAAGGCACCCTTGTCAGTGTTAAAAAGTCATACAGCACGAGTGTCAAGGGCTATATTTGGGACGAGCGAGGAAGCTTACAGTTGTGGTTTCGACTCGACCATTCGCTCGTGGGACGTCGAAAATGGCGTTTGCACGAATACGATTGTACGTGTTCAAATGAGGCGTACGATGCGAGCAGGGTTGCTTACCATGATATCCTTTACAGACTGCATCCGCAAAACCTTTCCTCGACCTTGCGCTGACACAGTCCCGTACGGTTCTCGCAGCATCTACAGACCGCACCGTCAGTCAGTATGATCTCCGTGCTTCTACGGCCTCCGCCACGACGCCATCCACAGCAACTCTCCGCCACTCCGCAACGCCGTCATGCATTGTTGTACCCTCCACATCGAACTCAAGTGTCGACACAAGCTCCGAGCACCAGCTGCTTACCGGCGCATACGACGGTATTGTACGTCTGTGGGACCTGCGCAGTGTGAAAAGTGCTGTCACAAGCTTCAAAGCATGGGAGGGCACAGAGAAGACAGGTAAAAAAGTGCTCAGCATAGACTGGGCTCGTGGCATCGTTGGCGTTGGCGGTGAGGGCGGAGTAGAGGTCTGGCGTCTCGGGCAGGGAGGACGGGCGATCCCGAGCTGAGGACCTTGGTAATTATATTTACATCTACCGCATGTCACTGCTACAACACACTGCATGGGCCAGAACCTCGTGCTACAGGAATGGTAGCTGACACTCCAATGACAATGAATTATCAGATGGAAGTCTACAAAGATACGTGCGAATATGAGATGCTAGACAAAGGGGAGGAGCTTCGAACTCGTCTATAGTACGTAGATTTGTAGGTAAGTGGCTTCGTAATTACGTTTCTTGGGCGAAGAAATGAAATGAAAGGGGTGGCGTTCGTGGGAGCAAACGGATGAACTTGGGTAGACGGAGACAGGGTTGAGGATACAGACACGAAGAACTCCGGTTAAATGAATACTGATACATGAGTTGGCTACATGCATAGGCTTTTGCGACTTCTTCCACCGTTCTTGAACCCCTTAACTCTTCTGAAATTCTCTTCAAGGAATACCTTTACAGGTTGGGATACCGATTCGAATCTTTCCGCGCCTTTGTCATGGCTGTGACCACTTGTGAGACAGAAGGTTACAAGAGATAGGTCTGAACCGACCTGCAATTATGGCAGCGCCAATGCCACTGCCATCTTCTGCGTGGTACGTGATGATATTTCTGGTAATATGGTTAGAGATGTCCAAATCGCAAGCAAAAATATACGGCTTACCTGCCCTTCTCCCCAAAAACATCTTGCAGACCTTCGTGTATCCTATCTGCAAAACCAGGATATTTCTGGACGTGTCGTGAAAATGATGGGCGTGCCGGACGGAGGGAGTGACACTCACATTGTACAGTGACCCATCTGCACCTACGGCGCATCCTTCGTCCAGGTAGCCCATCTTGCTCACAATCGCGGCAATACCACAGGCACTAAGTCTCGCAGCGCGACGGCCTACCAGCCTTGCGAGAGCGCGGAAAAATTGCCGTTCTGCTAGCGTCGTCTCCACTGCGAAGAAGTGCGTAAAAATACCGATGATCATGAGTAACTCTTCAGTCGGATCACTGAGCCAGGATCGGGGGATTGTGATACCCGCGAATGATGGGCGGTCAGACGATGAAGAAATCGTCAGTTACTATCACAGTAACGTGAATACGTTGACTTCACCTCTCCATAAGAGACAAGAAAGCCGTATCGAACGAGTACGGAATCTCGAGCTTGTAGGTATTCTGGCCCAGAAATAGGACACCGTCATCGATTAGCTCGCAAATGATCAGTCGTAGAATCTCCCCCAAGTATCGACCCGAGATAAGTTTCTGCAAATCAGGCACAATCAAACGTGCGTCAAGCCGATCAGGTTTGGATAAATCGTCGCCCAGAGTGGTAATCACCTCAAAAGCCTGTTCGCCGGGCTTGTTCGACTGTTCGTCAATTATCGCATCGTACTTAGTCCTCGGGAGGTTCTCATGAACGAATGAATCGAACGCGCCCTTTCACAAGGCGATGTCAGTCATCGTAATTTACTGCACTGTGTATAGTCGCACAATGAGAACTCACCCACTCGCAATTGATAGCAATCTCGGCGTCTGCATCAATATTCAAGTTGGCAATCTTGGGTATGTCACCAACACGCTCCATATATGCGGCGTTGCAGCCGGTGCCGAAAATGCATGCAATACGCGTCTTGGGGTTCACATAATGCGACGCAATCAAGGTACCGGTCGTGTCGCACGTGAGCGCGACGATCTCAGCGGGCACATTCTGAATAGTGTGATGTCGACATAAAATGTCGCGGCGTGATCAAAGAGGTGAGCCGATGGAAGACAAGATTGAGAGAGATACCGTACATGCTTTGAGAGACTCTTGCGAAACATGGCGACGACATCGTGTCCCTCTGTGTTTGGAGCACCGAAACCTTTTGTCCAGCGAATGAGTTCGCCGTGGTCGATGCGGTCTTGTCTGAAGAAAATGAACATTGAGTATATACATCCACTTCTCACTTTCAGTATAAATACTGACGAGCAGGGGTACGAAAACTACAGACAATATATCCTTGTTAAGTCGAATTTCACAAATAAACGGCAAGCAAATACACACTGTGAATCCCAGAGGCAGCACGGTATCTTTCGTAATCACACCGCTGGCAATGTTTGTGTCGACGAATGCTTTGAGGCATTCTGCACAAAAGTCAAAGAGACGCTGCCCATCCTCTTGCTTCTGCTCCTCGCTCAAACGATACTTAGATTGCGTAATCTCAAACTTGCCCTCCCCTTCGAGTGTGACCAGGCAAACGCGCAGATTCGTACCACCTACAGTCCATAAATGTTCGTATCACATACATCAAAGGCAGAGGAAGTCTTATGGCTCACCAAGATCGATTGCTAGGAAGTTACCTGTCTCTTTTCCTGATGGCCAACCAAAGACATACGTGGGGATCATGGGCTGTGAGAGTCAATTTCATGCATGAGTATGACGATCGTTCGAGTACAAATACTAGCCCGGTTCCCTCGAGATAAACCAATATATACTCCTCGAAGCAAGTTTCCACAAAACGCTTCAGAAAATGGGCAATTTCAGGGCCACGAGCTACGAGATATGTCCTCTTGAGGGAGTTCCAAAGCCCGTAAGATTCTCTTCGAGCAAACATCCACTCGTGCAAACGTTACTAAGCAAATTCGGATCGGAATGTACGCGCGTATTTAACCACGTTGAGTCAACGTTACGAAAAGATGGCCCAGACGCTTCGACACCAGAGAAAAGGATAATAGATACTTACGACTACCTCTCCATATTTTGCAAGTCCCGTTTCAAGTGTGTCTTTGAAGGCCTCAACGATCATACGCATCCGTTGCGGAGTGAGCGTGAATCTATGCGCACCTCCACTTAGTGATATGGCAGTGATATACCCGACGTGCTGACTTACAGACTTTCATACTTGCGGAGATGATCCGCCATAGTCCTGTTGCCAACATAGCTCACTGAGCTGCGGGGTCGCGAGCCAAAATGCTACATACTTCTTGGTCGCATGGGGGAGAGATTCATCGGCGTCGCTGCTCCTAGTGTGGAACGCGAGGGTCTGGCCTGTGGGGAGGGTGACACTACCACTTCCGCGACGGGAGGCAGGCATGGTGGCAAGGGATGTGCGGGCGATGAGGAGAGGGGGGACAGAGGAGGTTGGGAGACAAGACGGAGGAGACGAGTGATTGGTTTCGGTTCCAATGACGTCCAAATCCGGCGCGTGCTATAATCGATCTTAACTAGGCTATCACGCGTTCAAACTCCGACTCTAATCCACCTCCATTGCCAAGCTAGCTACGCCCACTACATTTCTATTCTAGTCTCTGAGTCTCTGGTCGAACACATATGATTGGTCTGAAGGGTACCCTCAACGTATGCATTTGTCATTTTATTGTTTTATACTCTCAATAGCTCGTATGCCAGGTCATCGACAACTCTGGGGCCTTGCTGGTTGAATGCGTCAACGTCCTCAAGCAGAAAGTCAACAATGGCTGGGGCAGTGTCGGTGACGAGATTGTCTGCGTCGTCAAGCGTGCGCGTCCAATATCCGCAGCACAAAGCGGTTCAAATGCGGTCAAAGTGCGAAGAGGAGACGTTCGGCGTGCCGTTATTGTTCGCACAAAGAAGACAGTGCGCAGACCAGATGGCCGATTCATCAGGTTCGACGACAATGCCGCAGTGCTCCTCAACAACAAACGCGAAATGCTTGGAACACGCATAGGTGGTGTCGTCAGTGCGGACCTGCGTATGAAGGGGTGGGGGAAAATCGTCAGTTTGGCACCGAAGGTAAGTATTTCTCGCGTTCGCAAGCGCAAGAAATGACAGCTATGATAGGTAGTTTGACGGGCGCGCGTTTTCCCTATAGAATCTTAGAATACTGAGATAGAGCTTACACGACTTCCTCCCTGGTCTTGCAGTCACATTTGTCATTCATAGCAGTGCTGTTCATCTTGACTTTATAAAAGCGGTGTTCTATTCGAGTGTCCTCTTACCAGGGCCCGGTTACAACTAAGAAGAACAGTAACTTCAGAATGTTCAATGTTTTTCAGCGCTAGTGTATAGACAAGGCACGGGTGACTAGCTGGGTGTGCAGCTGTGTGGGCAAGCTACTAGGCTCGGCCTAAGACTTATGCCCCGGGTTCTTATACGATCTTTTTAAGTATCGCACTCGCGAATATAATACGGTGGTAGCCGAATGTTTGGATGGTTTCTCGGTCGAGTGAGTGAGGCAATGTTAACGTTGTATATCCAGTGGACTGATGATCGACAGGTATTGACCAAGCTTTGTTGTAGATCCATTCATTTCCTCGCGCTGTTCGACATCTGTAATTCAAGTACTTCATGACACTGGTCTCGTAGAATGCGAGTCTACATAACTCCGAAATGAAAAGCGAATCTGACATTCCCGCCCACTGCAGATCCAACATCTGGCTCACCGGACCAATGAGTGGGCTTACCGCTCAAGGTACCCGAGGCTTGCCAACAATGCACTTGCAGATGTTCAAGGACATGGATATTCAATGATGCGATCAGGACGCTTACCGATTAGCAATGTGTCAGTTCCGCCCCTTTTCTTCACCCCTCACTGTGTTCCATCGTTTCTAAGCAGACCTCGTTCTCAATTAGGCAGAACCGGCATGTATGTTTTCCAACTTCCGATGGGTTTGACCTCCAGGTGTTGAAACGTGGCGTTCTGTGCTGTTACCGACGACTTTGGTGACACGTCGCAGGGCTTAATCCTGTTAGATACTGTTGAGAAGAACGGAGTTGGGCAACCCGAGGGCATCCGGGAGACCCAGCCACAGCCAGGCGGATACAACGCGGATACGCCTAGTTAGGTAGTTAGCCAAGGCGGATCCAAATGCATGTATCCTTAACACGTCTACGTACAAGCTCCTAGAATTAATTCGTCCTCTGCCTCTCGCTCGAACCGTCACCGTCTCTCGCAACAGATACGATGGAGTTCTTGTGCACATCTAAAATGCTTGGCCACATCCACCTGTTCACAAATACAAGTAAACCCCTGGACTACAACGGCCAGCCGGCCATAACTCTTCACATTTGACTGATGGCATCCGAACTGCTCAAGGGACCCAGCCATCTGTCTCGATTTGAGGTCAGTGGATTGGGTGAATAACGTCGTCCATCGCCGATATTGGACCGATACATCAGCTTGTCCGTGCCGCCCAAGAGCTCCGGTCTTCCTTCGGGCACAAGTGATTGAGTAGTATTTGCACTTAGTTTATATTTGCAGTTAGTTCAATAGACAATCTCAAACTTGTTTGATCATGTCCGAGACTCGGTGTCGATCAAATTCACCTTTTGTGGTTGTTTGGACGGTGCGTTACTCCGTTATTCTGCCCGCGCACGTCGCGCGGTACTGACAGCTCGTTTAACAAAACCTTCGAGTACTGTAAATACCAGGAGACTACATCGCAAGGATCAAATGGTCTCCTGCCGAAATCCTTGGCTTTTGATGGTCGACCCTAGCACAAACACTGGCGTTCACGGGCATGAGACCGATGCCCGAGGGTATCATGGATCTTATCCCGCTCCTTTTGGATCCCGTTGGTACTTGCTGGCTGCGACGTATATAACCGCACGGTACAAGTACGAGGTCTTTTATCATTCTGTGCATGACCTACATATCCGATATGTCTGAGACTATGCTCCCCCCTCTCGACGGTTCTCTCAATGTCTTTCCAGACTTCTTAGATTTTCATGCCCGCCACAATTCCAACAGGAATTGTTGGGAGTTTCCATCCTACGGCAACTCTATGGATGTCCCGCCGGTGACTTTCCGAGACTTTGCGGACGCGACCCATCGCGCTGCCCACGCCATTCGTCCTCAACCTGGGCCCGAGCGCTCTGTGGTGGCTATCTTGATCAATACCGACAGCATCTACTACCACGTTCTTATCGTAGGTGTCATCCGCGCGGGCCTCATACCGTTCCCGATGGGCCCACGGAACTCTGCACCAGCTATTGCTAGCATGTTAACGCGCACCGACTGCCACCGTATCGTTTCGCAGTCTGCATTCAGCGCCTTGACAGATGACGTCCTGGCAATGTTACCTGTCGACTATGCTTTCGAGGTTACTGAGTTACCGCCGCTGGCTGAGATTCTCCCCTCTCTCACAGCGATGCCAGGCATTCCTATCCCCCCCGTGAAACCATACCCAGCGCCGGAACATCGGCCTGTTCTCTCAGACATCGTATTGTACCTCCATTCTTCTGGCTCGACAGGCTTTCCTAAGCCTATTCCGCACGTTCATCTTAACTGGCTACAGTGGTGCACTATGCCCACGATAGAGTCGACTCATGGAGATACGTGGGCTTCAATGATGCTCCCGTCCTTCCACATGCTCGGGGTTGTAACACAACTTTTATTCCCTCTTGCTACCGGCTACCCGAATGTTCTCTTTCCTCCTCGAACTCATCTTGGAGAGCTTCCCGTCATTCCAACGCCGGACAATACGCTAGAAGCCATACAGAAATCGTCTTTTACTATGCTTATTGTCGTTCCCGCGTTCCTTGAGGTACGTTTGTTATTTCTGAATTTGAACCCATTTTCACAATGCGAAATAGAGTTGGATGAAAGACGCAAACTCTCTCGAAATTTTGAAGGATGTTAAGACCGTGGTATGTCATTCAAATCGTATTTCTCATGCCGCCACCAGTCTCAGTTGCCTCAGACATTTTGCGGCGGTCCTCTCTCCAGTTCTGCTGGCACAAAACTCGTGGAGGCCGGAATACACCTGTACCCTATCTACGGCTCGACTGAAGTTGGAGGCGTGTCGGACATAGGATACATAGACTATGAGAATCCCGAAACATCCGCCGAGAACGTGACCGAATGGGAGTATCTTAGATTCTCCGATCTGTGTAACATACGCTGGGACGATCAAGGTGATGGGTCATACGAATTGGTATTTATGGTAAGTGGAAATATTCGCGTGATAGGGCTTTTACTGACAAATAACAAATACATTCAGAGGTCTTCTAAGCACAAGCCATGCGTCGAAAATCTTCCCAATGGGGAGCACGGCTATGCAACATCTGATATCTTCGTGCCTCACCCATCAAAGCCTGGATTATGGAAAATGTGTGTACTCATCATTCTGTCTAGGATGCAGTAGCGCCTGATTGCTTCTTGGTTCTAGCATTGGCAGGACAGATGATGTACTCATCCTCAGCAATGGTAACGTGAAGCTAGTCTTGATTTTACAGCGTGACTGAAGAACCTCCACAGGCGAGAAGGTCGTCCCGGTCCAGCAACAAAACGCAATTTCAACACACCCGCTCCTTCTTGGGGCTGTCATGTTTGGTCGCGGCCGCGACCAAGTCGGGTTGCTAGTAGAACCGAAACCCGGACATTATGTTGCGCCAGGGGATGAAGCGGCTCTCATTGAGTTGCGAAATGCCATCTGGTTTGTTAGACATTCTGCACAATCATAAACTAATTTGGCTGAAATTGCACCTTTCCAGGTCTAAGGTGGAGGAAGCGAACCGCATTGCGCCAGCATTCGCACGTATCTTCAAAGAGATGATTCTGGTTGCGGATTCATCCCGACCATTCAACCGTGCCGCTAAAGGTACTATCATGGTCAAGACAACGCTTGCTTTATACGAGAAAGATATTGATGCATTGTATGTGACATTCATTCAACTATCTTGTCCTTGTCTCATCAACGTACGTAGATATGAGTCCGTCAGAGGCAGCTCTGACTTGCAAGGTGTAACCCCGCCCTCATCGTGGACCTTCTCCAACGTAGTTGAATGGCTTTCACAACATGCTTCTCTTTTGAACGATGGAAAGGTGCCTGACGCTGGAGATGACATTTTCCAGCAAGGCTTCGACAGGTATCCTGCCTCACTACATCCACAGCGCTCACTAAACTGACAGTATGTTCCCGCAGTTTGAGCGCAACCTATCTTCGAAATCGAATCATGAGCAGCTTCAGGACATCGCCTGACCCTCTCGTGAAGAATGCAGCACAGGGTGTACAGCCTAACTTCGTGTTTACGCATCCGACACTCGCCTCCCTTGCATCTGCCATAGTTAATCTAATCGACCCGCAGGAATCCTCAACATCGGCTTCGCCTGTTGAAGAAATCAATACCATGATTGACAAATACACCGTGATGCTGCCCAAGGCCCCAATTACGAGGAACGCTGGTCGTAGATCTGGAGCAGTCGTCCTATTGACCGGCTCCACCGGCACCCTCGGTACACACATTCTGTCCGAATTGCTCACAGACGAACATATCGTTCGGGTATATGCGCTCAATCGTGGAGCCAGGCTCTTAGAACGGCAACGCGACGCATTCGTGGCAGCGCAACTTCCCACCGACATTCTGTCCAACGACAAGCTTTCCCTCCTGAGTGGAGATATCATGCGAGAGGATTTCGGTCTGCCACAGACTGTCTTGGATGAGGTGGGCCGTGAATACATTTTAGACAATGCAAGAACCCGACTCATCTTGCTGCATCACAGATTCGCGCTTCCACGACTCACATCGTGCATAACGCTTGGAAGGTCGATTTTAATCTCTCATTGAGATCCTTCGAGGCGTATGTCGAGTCTACCATTCGGCTCCTGAACTTGGCACCAGCGGCGCATTTCTCGTACATGTCTTCCATTTCCTCTGCTCAAAGCTGGCGCGTTGCCGAACGTGGCCCACGTGTACCGGAGGATCCGACTCATGATACATCTGCCGCCGTCGGGGCAGGATACGGGATGTCGAAGTTTGTGGTCGAAGAGGTGGATATTGATGACCCTCTAATTTAATCCAGCCAACTGACTTTTTTCACAGGTTCTCTCAAATGCTCGGGAAGTCGGATTGAAGACGACAGTTTTGCGAGTCGGTCAAATTTGTGGCTCCACCCGCAACGGTGCCTGGAATACATCAGAGTGGGTACCGATCTTGGTTAAGTCCAGTGTCTCGCTCGGTTGTCTGCCCGAGATGAATGGAGTGAGTCGCCCGAGTCGCTTGTCTCTTGCAGTGATGATCAAGGCTCGCTAACTGATCTTGTTGTGCTTTAGGTTCTCTCGTGGATTCCAGTGGAAGCGGTGGCACGCGCCGCAGTCGATGTGATACTCACTCCGAATGCCCCTGCCTTAGTTAACGTGGTACATCCTTACCCAGCTCGTTCACGCAATATGTTGAGCGCCATTGGTGACGCACTTGAATCAGACACTCGACTGCCGGTCATCTCCATACGATCCTGGGTGGAAAAGCTGGAATCTGTTGCGCAGAATATAACAGGGCGGACTATGGAAGAGACGGTCAGCAGTCTCATTATGATCATGTTATGATCCTGGCTGACACGCCTCTTCAATAAATGTAGCCAGCAATCAAGTTATTGGATTTCTTCCGCGGATTCGTACCCCCTGTTGAGCAACCGGAGCAGGTCGCTGAGAATGACCTGGAGATGGGCGCGTTGCCCCTGTATGACACAGCGAAGATGCAAAGCATAAGTTCGACCATGGAGAACCTTCAGCCGCTGGGAGGCCAAAACGCGTATTCTTGGGTAAAATACTGGAGGGATCAGCGTTTCATACCGTAACTGTCACTTGGAAATGTATACTGCTTTTATTCGGCGTTTTTTAATTTATTTTTATTATTACGACTTGAGCGTACCTGTTCTGGCACATGTCATCAGAGAAACACGCGCACGCATTATTATTGACTAAGTTGCCCGGAGTTGTCAGCAAAGATCTTGCTCGCCTCTGCGATTCTGCCCGAATGAGAGGGTAGCGGCTCTTCAACGAGTTCGAGCGCAACGATAAAATGGCAAGCAGATAGAGTAGCGGGTACAGCGAGCACCGGCATCAGCCGGCTCCCCCAATACTCACAATAGTACTTACCAATTACTAAGTTCCTTCACACGTTTAGGATTGCCTTGAAATATATAAAGTTTTATTCTACCTCTGTGCCTGCGGGTGTCGGGTGGGACACAAAGTTACCAGTCGAGGGTCCAGGTGAGAACGTTGCAGCTCGGGTGCGTTGCGTACTGTACGTATAAGATACTTTTTGGACGCGGATATGCGCGTTCCATCTGCGGCTGTAATACATGCCCCCAAAATCTGAAAGATCTGAACTTGCGCTGTCCAGTACTTGTCCCGTAACATCTCCTTCGCGGCTGGCAGCAATCTTGTGGCTCTCGGAGGTGGTCAAGATAACAGAGGGAATTCATTCTAAATACTTCATTTCATCTGCCAATTGTACTATGTCAATCAGGGGTACATAAGCCCTCGCCCGGGTCTCTATACGCCCTGCGATTGCCCCTCACGACGCACACAGTCGACCATGAGCACAAAGTCAACGCTCGCCTATGGCGTCCGGTACACGCCCGACTCGCCAGCGAACCCCGTGGATGCATTGATCTCGTCTGCCGCCAGGGTGCTCTTTCAGACAATCCACAGTTACTCCTGTCGCTACGTTCGCGTTCAGTGGGTTGACCTTATCAATACTGCCCGGTTTCGAGTCCTACCCCTACAGCACTTTCAAAAGCTCTTTACGGCCGAGCGAGCTGGCGTATGTCTGACCCATGCAACGTTGGGTCTTGTAGGCCCCGGGATCACCCCAGGGTTCTCCGGTACAGGCGAGTATCTACTTGTCATCGATCCAGCCAGCGTCCGTCCATGCGTTTTTGCGCCTGAGCATGCCGTCGTCATGGGCTGGATACAGGAAAAGGTGCCATCTCCTTCGACAGGTATAGTATGCGATTTGTGTCCGCGGACGATGTTGAATCGAATCGTTGCGTGAGTGTATGCGACCTCTTAGTTCAGTGCATTTCCCTTACCTGCATCTCTGATAAGCGATGCACAACAAAGGGCTGGTTTGAAGTTTCTCGCCGGATTTGAGTCCGAATTCATCCTTCTCAGCGAGACCTCTCCGAGACCCGTGTTTGTCAATCATGCAGACTGGTCCACTTCTGCTAAGCTGCTAGCTGGTCGGAAAGAGACCGTAGTTCTCGAGGAGATCGTTGATGCACTCATGGGAGCAGGGATAGAAGTGCAGATGTATCATGCGGAAGCGGCTCCTGGACAGGTGAGTTAGCCATCGTTCTCTCTACAATCATTCGTGGACCAAGATGTTGTAGTACGAGATCGTAACAGGGCCTCTACCTCCGTTGGAATCGGCTGATGCCATCGTACATACCCGCGAGACCATCCGGAATGTCGCTAGCAAGCACGGTCTCCACGCAACATTTGCACCACGTTTGCACTCGGACAACTGTATGTCGTCGCATGTACACTGATTCTAAGGATCGCTGACATCGGCCTCAGGTGGCAGCGGTGCACACATGCACCTGTCCATGCACTCCGCCATGCCGAAAGCGCTACGCGCATCCGACGCATCTCGTGGACCCACGCTCACCCCCACCGAACGGTCGTTCCTACAAACGCTCTTAGCGCACTTACCGTCGCTGTGCGCACTGATGCTACCCACGGCCGCATCTTATGCACGTGTCGAGGATGGAATCTGGTCTGGCGGAACATATTCATGCTGGGGTACGGACAACAAGGAGGCACCGGTGCGGCTGTGTGGGCCCGGCGGAGAACACCACCTCGAACTCAAGTGTGTGGATGGGACTGCAAATCCGTATCTTGTCCTAGCGGGTGTTTTGGCAGCAGGTATGCGTGGGGTGGCGGAGGGCGCGTTACTGACTGTGGGCGATTGTGAGGTGCCTGTGGCATTGATGAACGATGAGGAGCGGAAGGCTGTGGGGCTCCAGAATCCTGGGAGGCTACCAAGGACAATCAAGGATGCAAGGGAGCTGTTGAGAAAAGATGACCATTTGCGAGGGGTCCTGGGCGAGAATTTCGTCGCGAAGTTTACTGCAGTGAACGAGGTACGAGCGCGTTTGTGCTTTGATGTGGTATGTCACTTACAATAAGGGATCGGCAGGTATTGGAAGCCCATTTGCAGGCAGAGTCCGCAGAGGCAACTGTCGCCCGCTTGGTCGGGTACTATTGAAAACCATGTCGTCAGAGTTCTGAGGCTTATACCGGGAAAATTATGTTATTGCTATAGATTTTTTTTTGGCTAGCGAAGCTCAAGTCACGTCTTCATATTGTGTAAATGCTAGTAGCTGCTAAATTGACGATCGAGATCTGATGCATCGAGCATGAATATCGACGTATAGTTGTCAGGAGAGACTTCTACGTGCGGTGTATTCATGTCGTCGTCTGAAGCAAGGATATTTGAAGCCAAGATTCAATGTGAACTTGTGGATTTTCATACGGGTCGAATGCGAGCTTTAAATAAAATTTTGGGCGCTTGTAGCAAACTTTCTGCTGCTGGTGTGGTCTTCGCCTACGCTCTCTTCCTCATCGAACTGCTGACTACATTATTCTACTGCGACAGCTCTGTCTCCATCTTACTTCTATAGTACCTATTGAATATCGACCTCTTGTCTCGAGCAGAATTCCACAGCCAGCGACGTGTTAATGCACTCTCGGACTGCATCTGATGCATCCTTCATTCTGGTCGGCTCTGAGCAATCTCAGGATCTTGGGGCGAGTAGACATGGGCCAGTAGCGGATGAAGTTACCCAGCAGACGTCGGAAACTGCGCTCGGAAATTCCGTGAGTGTTGATTGGTAGTGTCTACTCCATACGAAGACTGAATGCAACCCTAGCTCAATCTACCTCGCGAGTTGAGCACTTCGACGAGACCTCGAGCTCCACAGATCTCATCAGCCCACGACTGGTCAGCAGCTGGAACAGGAGGCAAGCTCTCAATTCATGGTCGTCATTTTGTAGATGCGTATGGGAGGGTGTGTAGTCTTCGTGGAGTGAATCTCTCTGGAAGTTGTAAAACGTACGTGGATGGCGCATTTTACCAGTATATGAGACGGACATCGTGATATCTATCTATCTTTTATCCCGGCGAGTACGTTTCCTAGCCATGGCGAGGAAACATGTTTTTAGAGGGCCTTTCCAGAGTCATGCGAGTTTTGGGAACGCTCTCTCGCGTACGCATTTCATTATCGCATTCCACACACGAATCTCTCCCGCGGTTGCACGCTTCAGTCTAGTTGAGGTAGCTGCGTGCATGTCGCAACATGTTCACTCTTGTCTCTGAGAGTTACCTGGTAATTTGGGGTATCTCGGGCACTTGAGCCAACACGTATTTAGGAGAAAAGATGCACGTATACAGCTCGCGACGAGATATGTCTGCGGTATATTTGACACGAGTGTAGAATGAACGAGACCTGAGCTGCGAAGCTATAGTTGCTTGCAAAGTTTTATTCATGAACTGTCATCTTTCGATACTACTAAAGCCACGTTGTAATAGGCCGACTAACCATAATCACGACACATTCCCCGCTAACCACGCTGCGGTCACTTTTGTCGGCCGACCCTTCCCGCTAGAAGAAGCCCCAGAGCATTTTTCTCGACTACGTCGATGGGGCTTGACATTCAGTAAGCCATTCCTGGCCATTGACTACACTCTGCTCAGAAACTGCAGTCAGATTTCTGCTCACATGGGAAGCCGTAGAACACGCAGGCCCGTAAGTCAACGGGTTGTGCTTTCAATGAAAAAAGCTAACAAAATGATTGCTATAGAGGCATCTATGACATGGAATATCTCGATTATGTCCGGGAGCTACTTTCGGTATTACCACAATATGGCATCACCGCATTCGTCGTGATGCATCAGGATGTCTGGTCGCGCTATTCTGGCGGATCAGGAAGTCCTGCATGGACGCTTGAAACCGTAGGGTTCGATCTACATGGCTTGGAAGAACCTGGTGCTGCATGGCTGAAGGGAGTCAAGGGCGGCGGGCACGTAGAGGAAGAACGGGGTCTGTGGCCGTGTGGATACCAGAAGCTGGCCGCTGCTACTATGGCGTGAGTATGCTTCTATATATCAGACTGGAGTGACACTAAGCTTTATAGTACCTGTTTCTGGGCAGGAGACACGTTCGCCCCCAAGCTCAAAGTCAAGGACGCTAATGGCAAGGAAATCTCCATACAAGCATTCCTGCAGAACGCATTTCTGAATATGTGGGAGGTTGTTGCGAAGACTTTAGGTGACCTAGAAGGTGTCTTGGGCTTTGAGGTAAGTCCTACGGCCTGTAGTGGAAGTACGGACCTGACGAGCCTCTTAGATGATGAATGAACCGCATAGAGGTTATGTAGAGCTCCAATCAATGCATGCATTCGATTATAATACCGATCTTCATCTTGGTCACGTTCGTAAGTCTTCACCAGGTTCACTAGCACGGCAACTTCACACAGCTGTACTTCACTAGCAACCGCTTTCCAATCATTCACACTCGGTGCTGGCCACCCGACTGAGATCGGCTTTTGGACCCGGTCCTTCCCCATGCCAACCCGCCTGACGTCCAAAGGTGTTCTTAACACCGCCAGACAGAGGGCCTGGCGAGATAATGGGCCTACACAAGGAAAGTGTCTGTGGGAGATGCATGGCGTGTGGGGATGGGACAAGATCAAGGATGAGGGCGTCGTGCTCCGGGAAAGTTACTTCACCAAAGACCCCGTGTCGGGGCGCAAGGTAAGTTGTCCACTGTGATTTTAGAATCCATTGATGTGCTTTGCCGTTAGGTTGATTGGTATACCGACTTCTACTTCCCATTTGTGAAGACGTGGACGGACCGTGTGCGCAGTGCGTCTAGCCCGAACATGATTGTCTTCATCGAGCCGATTCCGAATGAGGTACGTGTTAAGCCTGAGGTAGAGCATTGACTCTTGAACTATTGATTCAGTTCTGCCCTACTTCATGGACGCCCGAGCGACGGCCTACCGATATGGCCTTTGCTCCACATTGGTGAGTGTTCTCCCGTTTACTATCTGATTGCGCTAAGACGTGCTTGTAGGTATGACTTGAACGCTTTGTTTGCGAAGGCTTTCGGAGACTTCACTGTGAATGTCCAGGGCCTTTCGAGAGTGAGTGTTCCAAGAATCAGTTTGAATCATAGAACTTAAGCAGCCATATATAGGGCATGTTCCCGCTCAAGGCGTTCTACTGGGGTCACCAAGGTGCCAGAGACAACTTCTCGTTGCAAATCCGAAACTTGGTTGAAGCTGGATATCGCTCACTTGGAGAAACTCCCGTCATCATTGGAGAATGCGGGATTCCAATGGACATGAAGTAAGTGAGACATGTCACCTTTTGGAGAATGTTATTGAGTGGCTGCTACCAGCAAAGGCGAGTCATTTCAAACGGATAGATGGACGTGGCAGACGCGCATGATGGATGCCATGGTCACTGCACTTGAACAATCGCTCGTTGGATTCACGTAAGGACCGCTACGTTCATATCATGTTCATACTCACAGACGCGAATTCAATAGTCTCTGGAATTACAATCCGGACAACGATGATACCAGGGGCGACGACTGGAACGGGGAGAATTTCTCCTGGTACAGTAGACGTCGTGGTCTGCCCGCCTCCTGGCTCGACTTCAAACAAACCTCGGCAACGCTGGACAATGGCGCGCGCATCTTGCGCGCCACTGTCCGTCCCTACCCCGCGAAGACGGCAGGGATTCCGCTCAAGTTCGACTACGAGATGAACACTGGGAGGTTCACATTTGAGTGGGTCGTCCCCAGTGACCTATCGAAGAAAGGATCGGGTGCAAGTGCAAGTGTTCAGCAGCCGCCGGTAGCTGGGCACCCCGCCCTGACGAGTAAGGACACCGAGATATTCATGCCGTCGATGCTCGCGCGCGAACGACAGATTGTCATAGAGGGACTCGGGCAGGATGATCGCTACCGCTACGACGAGCAGCGCCAGACGTTGACGGTCACGACAGGCGCCCTCACGCCTGGCCAGGTGCATCGTATCGTGGTGTCGCTCAAGCCTCCGCTGAAGGCATCGTTTGAGGTCAATAGCTTCTGGGACGACTTTGGCGGGCACATTCTCGGCGCAGCGGTGGTCATCTCATCCTTACTGATTTACATATTGCTGTCAAACATATCTGTTTAGATACTCTCTCTGTGGTGATACTTAGATGGAAGACATAAACCATAGCATATATATCACACGTTGAAACTGGATGTCAATATGGCAAGTGAAAGGCAGCCCATCAAATAAGCAGTGCTTAGCATCAGGCACCCCGTTGTAGGACGCGTCCGCGATCTAATATTGCGTCCGCCTCCAAATAGCATCCCTTCAGCCATCGATTTGTTGCTCCATTAGCATTTGTGCCTTTCCCATCCCCTGAGAGGTCCCTGAAAGCAGTTCGTGCATGCAAAACGCGACGGTTGTCGAACAGCACTGCATCGCCCTCCCGTAGCGTGTACTCGAACCGCGCAGCAGGATCCTCCAGAAGCGCAACGAAGCGTTCGAGTGCAGAGTAGAACGCCGTGGGCGTGGACAACGGTAAGGGAGCCTGGAATGGAGGAGAGTAATTTATGTGTCGGATGTCCCCGGGAGCCGTTGAGGATGGAGGCGCCAGCTCTATAGTTGGATGCGCGTAATGCAAATGATGGCCGTCGTTGATGTAGTGGAACTCAACCGGAGTTGAGGCAAGTATGTTGAAATCGTCGGGGGACATCGTTTTGAGCCGTGATGCTGCATACAAGGCGTCGACAAAGATGGACGTGCCGCCTGAAACGCGATTGCGTAGACAGTGTAAAATCTGAAGACGAGGAGGGTGTTGGAAGTAGCTGTTATTCCAGACCAATAAGCTAAGCATAGAGAATGAAAGCCAGTTGGGACGAACACGTACAGAAGATCCATGTGCAGCCCGAGATCAATGTTGGTGTAAGCAATATTTCGGCTATTGCGAACGTTCTTCACATCCCATGTCTGTCCGTAGAAGGTCTCACGTATTTCTCCGAACCGCTGTGCAAGTGCACGCAACTCGCATTCCTCGTTCGACGTCTTATCATTTGGGACACCGGTGACGAATACCAGGCCGTATCGCAAGAATTGATTGATGGCACTCAGCAGGCCCGACGAGGTCTTGATGCTACTGTACGGAAGGAAGAGATCCTGAGATGATCGTAGGGTACCGATATCCCACTGCTTCACAGCGGGTTCACTATGGAAGACATGCAGTCTCTCTGGTGATCCGTAGAGCTCTAGGAATGCGTCAGGGTAGTGTGACTGGTGTCCATTTGTCCAATTTATGCGCACTCCACTGTCTGAGAAATGAACACCATCGATCGCGGTGGGCTGGATATCCTCTGGAACATCGGAAGTCCTATGGAGCTTCTGGCGAGTCGATGGATGTACGCATGCCGAACACTGGCATGAATCACGCAACCATCTATACGGAAAAGTCAGGCCTTTGTAGGATAAACCTGATCTTGCATCAGTTGCTATACGGCGAGCACGCAGCGTTTGGCGCAGTGTTGTCGACCGGAGGAGGCTTAACATGGTGAGCTAGTAACAATACTCGAGACCTCAGAACTGTATATAAGGAAGAAGCGTACCTGAGTTCCACGCTGATCAGCTGGTTGCCGCTTACTGTAGTTTATAATAGTGAGAGGTAGAGGTCGATGAATCTCATACTGCAGTGACAAAATAAAACATGAGGGTGATGAAAAATCATTGACGGGATAAGATAAGATGCAATGCGGCGAACAGCCCGGCTCGTCCGAGCAACGGAGTTCCCTGAGGAGGAGCCCACTTTCGCACGACTATTGAAACAGCGGCAGGGTGGGCCACTAGTGCTGTCCTCGCCTCAGGCTGATTCTGGTGCTAAACTCTGACGGTACGCACGCGAGTGCGACTGAGCTGGAATGCGTATGAGATCAAGAGGGCCTAGCGGTGCTTAGGAGTCGTACTGGAAGTGTGCAGGTGTCTGGGTCCCTGATTCAAGATGTTGTGGTCCAAAACCGATATGTATGTCGAAGGTGTGTATCCGATGGTACTTGCGTTATTCTGTATCATGTGCTAACGGTGCTCACGACCGTTTCTCATTCCGCGTAGCAGCTGCCTTGGCCGTATGATACGATACGCTGATTTTGATTAACTCGTAAAATCGAGTCTTAACTATGTTGACGCTTCGCCATGAATTCGACTATCCCCACCATTCTGATAGTCAGCTGCTCACATACATGCGAGGCGGCTCTCCTGATGATCCTTCGCATTTCATACTGGCTCCACGGACGCATTTCTTGACATGCTTCCCTGAAGCACTCATTTGACGAGTGAACTTGGAGTCTGGTCTGACTCTCACAGTATCTTCTATCTATTCGGCATTTTGGCATTTTGTTCCAGTTTTGACATGCCGAAGTCGAAAGGGTTTCTGCTGTAGTGGGTATAAAACACATCCCATATCTTGCATGCAGATCCTCCACTCCATCCTCATATCCACTGAATTCGAGGTCACTGCAGAAGATGCCAGGCACAGTTATTCCCCCAGTTCCACATCGCACTCCTGTTGCACCAACAAAAGAAGCTTGTCAGTACCCTGTCATACGTTTCAGAGTGTTACTACAATCCTAATTACTCAACGCGTGCTACAGTGGAGTATGCTGACCTCGCAATCATTGATCTTGCCAAGGCAGAGACTGCAGAAGGTCGCACTGAGCTAGCCGTCCAACTGCGAGAGGCCTTGTCTACGCAAGGGTTCTTCTATGTCATCAATCATGGATATACGCAAGCCCAGGTATGTTACTCGTTGTTTTGTCTTAGTCCACATGATACGACGATAATTGGTAATTGGATAGAATGAACGTATATTCGACGTCGCCGATCTTCCTTTCAGCTATGTTTCAGAGGGGGAGAAGCGAGAGTACGCCGCGAATATAAAAGAAGGTGGCTCGTATCAAGGTTACAAATTGCGGGAACTTTGGGTACATCTCTTCTCTCTGCGTAGGCCGTATGTGTGACCTGACCATTTATTGCCTAGACCATCAATGCCGGCGTTCGCGACCAACTAGAGCATTACAACAGTATGTTCATTACGCTTCGTTGCTATCTGTATGTTGATGATCTGCTTAGTCAACCGCGATATTACGCGGAAGCAGCACCCAGAAGTCCTGCGTCCTCTTCTGCCAGAGATAGGAGCCTTTGCGAAATTTAATCACGTTGAGATATTGCATAAACTCCTGCGGTGAGCCTTTCCTCGATTCTGGATATATAAACTATAACCTCATGGATTCTCATGCTTCCTTTCAGACTTTATGCGATAGGTTTAGAGATTCCAGAAGACACATTTATAAACCAGCACAACTATTCTGCACTAGGCGAAAGCTATGGTGCGCGTCTTGTCCTCATACTTGTTAGCCGGATTACTCAACAGACTTCCAGTACGGTTTATGAAATAGTTCGTGGATATTGTCCTTACATTCTCTAATTATCCGAACGTGTGTATGACAGTTACCCGAGATCGGAAGATGACGAGACGAAGACGAAGAATACCTGGTTGAAAGGTCATACTGGTGAGAATGCAAGGTTTAAGTTGTGGATCAACGGGCGATCTCTAGAACGACTATGATTAGATCTTGGAAGCGTCACCATCCTATGGAGCCAACCTGTCTCTGCGCTCCAAATCATGTCGCCAGACGGGAAGTGGCGCTGGATTAGGCATATCGAGAACGCCCTTGTACGTGCACACAGCCGATTATTGATCGTCGCCTGAATTGTTTTGTTCTTCTTTCTCATCTGAAGGTGGTGAACTCAGGCGATACGATGGAGTTCCTCTCAGGAGGCTTCTACAAAGCGACCATTCACCGCGTCGTCCAGCCACCCCCGGACCAGCGCGGCCTGACCCGCCTCGGGGTCTTCTACTTCGCCATGCCCGATGACGACGTGAGGCTAATTCCATACATGGGGAGCCCTGTTCTCCAGAGACATGGGATTGTGCGTCGTGTTCCTGACGCTAGCGCACCTACGATGGAAGCTTATCGAAAGGGGAGAACAAGCTCGTTTGGCCTGGCCGAGTTTCAGAAGAAAGGGAATGGGATTGAGGAAGAGATCGTTGCCGGAATTGTGGTGAAGCATTACTTTTGATGAAGTGTAAGTTACGGTGTGTTCCATCTTTGTATGTAAGGATTTATGACACGGTGACACCGCGGGCAATATTCAAAAGTTGAGTAGCAAACATGCGTCGAACACAGCTCGCAGGAGACAGCGAGTTTTCATTGTGTTCAGAGCTTAAGCATTAGGAGTGTCCGACTGCCAAACATGGGTGATCTGCAGCTGCTGATTGGCTGAATACTCATGTTCGACGGATGTTACCGCAATGTCTGACAAACATGTTTGAGCTCCGAACATAACCGGGAAATGCTGTCTCCAGCGACCGATGCTTGTTCGGCGCTCGACCTTTGGGCATTTCCCACAGTGTGAGGCTCTACGTTCTGGAACTATTGCTATTGGTGGCTTAGCATTGAGGAACGATTTCCGACTCTCCTGACTTGTAGTGCTGGTCCTTGTAATTTAACTTACCTGTGTCTCTGTCCTATCGCACCAGCATCAGCATGGACCATTACAACACTAAGCCTCCCTTTTTCGCTCCACACTAATATGCTTCCAGGCCCTGGAACACTCGTCCATCTGGTATACAAAATGCAAGATGCGGTATAGGATCGCCGTCTTTCTGTACCTGCCGTGGAGGATTTCGAAAAGACCTACGAGATGTGGGACTTTGAATAAGGAGACCTTGAGAGACGAGTGGTCTATATTACCACCAAGACTATCGACGAGAGGTGATTGTCCATCCAAGGAGCTGCCATTTGTGCAAGGCGAGCGCTATACGGGAGTTGTTATGCTTATTGTATTGGGGCGGAGAGGGGACCAGATGGCACGACATCAGGTTCTGATCAGAGGGGTGGGAGCCCAGGGACATGAATTACTAACGACTTCGTGATTCGTTATCAGCTTCTTCAAGGCAAGTTTATTCAGCGGGGTCAAATGTACATGGCTTCTTCACTCGGTTCTTGATATCGTCGCATTGATGCCGAGTCTAGAAACTATGTAGGCGCCACCAAATTTGGCGGGGATCGCAATCTACTTTATTTCGTGCTCTTTATCTTTGCAGCTGCCTCCTGAGAATCGACATATGCTACCCGACAATGGCTATGAACGATCTCTCTGACATTATTCGGGTCATTATACCACTCCTTGTTCTCTCAGTTGTGTATACTCGTTGGGCGAGATCTAAAGCTCGCCTTCCTCCAGGACCAACCCCACTCCCCTTACTAGGAAACGTACATCAAATCCCTTGGGAATACCAGCACAAAAGTTTTGCTGATTGGGGCAAGAAGTATGGTATGTATTTTTTCTAAACGTTTGCAGTTGACTGTCGCTGACATTGCCGACAGGCCCAGTTGTTTTTGCCAGAATCTTCAATATGCCAATCGTCATTTTGAGCTCTATTCAAACAATCGAAGATCTTTTGGATAAAAGAGGTGCTATCTACTCGGATAGACCTATTGGCAGCATGTACAATGACATGTACGTTCTTCCCCTTCTTACGGTGCCTGCACGGTTAAAGAAGCACTTGACGTAGGGTGGAGTTTACGGCAAACACTGCGTTTCTTCCGTACAATGATCAATGGCGCCGACACCGTAAATGGCTCCAGGCAGCCATTGCAACTCCAAAAGCGATCGAAAGCCTCTGTCCACTACAGCAACGAGAATCCCTCCGACTGCTTGTAGATCTAGTCAATTCGCCGGAAGAATTCATGTTACATATCAAAAGGTGCGTCAATTCAGTTCTTCCCGGATCACTGTTGGTTGAGAACGATTCCCTTAGATATCCAGCTGCGTTGATGATGGAGATTGCATACGGACGCCACGTCTCGTCAATGAGTGAGGATAAACTGGTAGGACTCACAGATCAAGCACTGGAGGAGCTGGTCAAACTCGGTGGTTTCGGATCTACCGTTGTTGATTTTATACCATTACGTTCGTATTGATGACCATTCTTAAATTTGTCAGGGCTGACGTCGATTCTCCTCACTGCTGAATAGTCAGGCACATTCCAGTGTGGTTTCCAGGTGCAGCATTCAAAAGAAGAGCGTTGAAGATTCGAGATATGATTCACACCTCAATGAATACTCCTTACAATAAAGTTAGAGAAGAAATGGTGAAGTGATTCATATTTGTAAGTATTTAAACCTCACATAATTGCAGTTGGCTGGCTCCGCGAGGCCTTCATATCTACGGATGTTACTGGAGACGTATCCCAGGGACAAAACTCCATCACGAGAAGAGGAGGCCGATATGAAAGGGTCTGCGACTTCTATGTATGGCGGTAGGTTCTGCGTTCAATCGCTCGGGATGGAATCAATGTTTATAAACCTATCATGAATAGCGGGAGCTGAAACGGTAAGTATTGAGAAAACATGTCGATGCATGCCCAGCTCATTCTTCAGCTTCATGTAGACAACATCCACACTGCAATCGTTCCTACTTGCGATGATTCTCCACCCGAAGGTGTTTCAGAAGGCTCAAGCCGAAATTGATCGTGTGATTGAGAGTTCTCGACTTCCTGATTTCGAGGACAGAGACTCCCTTCCATATCTCGAGTGCGTTCTAAAGGAGGTGTATCGGTGAGCTAAGCAGCCAGCAATTATCTCTTTCATATTCTGATGATCATAGATGGAACACCCCTGTACCCCTCAGTAAGCTTTTCGTGTAATATCACAAAAAGTTAAACAATGCTGCTAATGAGCTCAATCTGTTAAGGTATTCCTCACCGACTTATGGAGGATGACGTGTACAACGGATTTCACATTCCGAAAGGGTCAACCATCATTCCGAATGTTTGGTCAGCCGTGACGGTATATGATCTATGTAAGCAGCTATTGATACTGCATCGGCTAGGGCAATCGCGATGGATCCAGATATGTATCTCGACCCCGAATTGTTTTGGCCCGAGCGTTTCGAAGGCATGGACGAAGAGGAAGCAGATCTCAAAGATCCACGGAGGGTGGTGTTTGGTTCCGGTCGACGGTGCGGCTTTCTATCTGATGTTCTATTCTCATAGGTATAATGGTTTCTCGCAGAATCTGCCCCGGACGACAGCTTGGGGAAAGGAGCATCTGGCTTGCAGTTGCCAGAATAACGGCCACTTTTGACATCAAAAAAGCTCGCGATGCTTCTGGAGTGGAGATTACTCCTGAAGCCAGCTTCCCTCCCGGATCGGTCAGGTAAGGGACATTCGGTTCTGTATGTCAGCAGTCTGATCAAAGCCACGATTGTGATCACATAGTCATCCTAAACCTTTTGTCTGTGATATCCGCCCGCGTTCCGAGAAAGCGGCCATGCTCGTTGACCAGTTGAACAAGAAGCTTTCTTGATATTATGGAGTTTTGTTTTTGATCCCCGGCTTTCAGATTCCATAGTATATTATTCACCGATGCTTCAGGGAGGAGGAGGATGATAAATTGGCAAGGGAGCTTGCGATAGCTGTTGAGTGCAACAGATTAGTATTACACTGGCTTTTATATAAGAACCGATGTAGTCAAATGCACGTCAGAGACTCTCGTTTTGTATATTTCCAAAGATTGCACTGGTTCACAATGATTCTATGGCAAAGGCCTATAGTATCAGCGCCCATATGCATCATGACTATTTCGCTTTGGTATCCTGCAAAAGTCGCTCCACGCATTGTCAACGGGGAGCGGGAAGTGTGTGTGTGTGTGGGGGGGGGGGGGGGGGGGGAA